GTATTTTTTACAGATCTTTTCCTGTAATTGATATCTAGTCTCATAGCGTTGTGGTCGGAAAAGATTCTTGATAGAATTTCAATTTTCTTAAATTTACCAAGGCTTGATTTGCGACCCAAGATATGATCCACCCTGGAGAATGTTCCATGAGCACTTGAGGAAAATGTGTATTCTGTTGTTTTTGGATGGAGTGTCCTATAAATACCAATTAAGTCCATCTTGTTTAATGTATCATTTAAAGCTTGTGTTTCCTTATTTATTTTCATCTTGGATGATCTGTCCATTGGTGAAAGTGGGGTGTTACAGTCCCCTACTATGAATGTGTTACTGTCAATTTCCCCTATTATGGCTGTTAGTATTTGCCTTATGTATTGAGGTGCTCCTATGTTGGGTGCATACATATTTACAATGGTTATATCTTCTTGGGACGATCCCTTGATCATTATGTAGTGTCCTCTGTCTCTTCTAATAGTCTTTATTTTAAAGTCTGTTGTGTCTGATATGAGAATTGCTACTCCAGCTTTCTTTTGGTTTCCATTTTCATGGAATATCTTTTCCCATCCCCTTACTTTCAGTCTGTATGTGTCTCTAGGTCTGAAGTGGGTCTCTTGTAGACAGCATATATATGGGTCTTGTTTTTGTATCCATTCAGCCAATCTGTGTCTTTTGGAGGGAGCATTTAGTCCATTTACATTTAAGGTAATTACTGATACGTATGTTCCTATTCCCATTTTCTAAACTGTTTTGGGTTCGTTTTTGTAGGTCTTTTCCTTCTCTTGTGTTTCTTGCCTAGAGAAGTTCCTTTAGCATTTGTTGTAAAGCTGGTTTGGTGGTGCTGAACTCTCTCAGCTTTTGCTTGTCTGTAAAGGTTTTAATTTCTCCATCAAGTCTGAATGAGATCCTTGTTGGGTAGAGTAATCTTGGTTGCAGGTTTTTCTCCTTCATCACTTTCAGTATGTCCTGCCAGTTCCTTCTGGCTTGCAGAGTTTCTGCTGAAAGATCAGCTGTTAACCTTATGGGGATTCCCTTATGTGTTATTTGTTGTTTTTCCCTTGCTGCTTTTAATATGCTTTCTTTGTATTTAATTTTTGACAGTTTGATTAATATGTGTCTTGGCGTATTTCTCCTTGGATTTATCCTGTATGGCACATCCTGTATGTGCTTCCTGCACTTCATTAACTATTTCCTTTCCCATATTAGGGAAGTTTTCAACTATAATCTCTTCAAATATTTTCTCAATCCCTTTCTTTTTCTCTTCTTCTTCTGGAACCCCTATAATTTGAATGTTGGTGCATTTAATGTTGTCCCAGAGGTCTCTGAGACTGTCCTCAGTTCATTATTTTTTTCTTTATTCTGCTCTGCAGTAGTTATTTCCACTATTTTATCTTCCAGGTCACTTATCTGTTCTTCTGCCTCAGTTATTTTGCTATTGATCCCATCTAGAGTATTTTTCATTTCATTTATTGCGTTGTTCATCGTTGTTTCATCTTTAGTTCTTCTAGGTCCTTGTTAAATGTTTCTTGCATTTTGTCTATTCTATTTCCAAGATTTTGGATCATCTTTACTACCATTATTCTGAATTCTTTTTCAGGTAGACTGCCTATTTCCTCTTCATTTGTTAGGTTGGGTGGGTTTTTATCTTGCTCCTTCATCTGCGGTGTGTTTTTCTGTCTTCTCATTTTGATTATCTTACTGTGTTTGAGGTCTCCTTTTTGCAGGCTGCAGGTTCGTAGTTCCCATTGTTTTTGGTGTCTGTCCCCAGTGGCCAAGGTTGGTTCAGTGGGTTGTGTAGGCTTCCTGGTGGAGGGGACTAGTGCCTGTGTTCTGTTGGTTGAGGCTGGATCTTGTCTTTCTGGTGGGCAGGTCCACATCTGGTGGTGTGTTTTGGGGTGTCTGTGGACTTATTATGATTTTAGGCAGCCTCTCTGCTAATGGGTGGGGTTGTGTTCCTGTCTTGCTAGTTGTTTGGCATAGGGTGTCCAGCACTGTAGCTTGCTGGTCGTTGAGTGAAGCTGTGTGTTGGTGTTGAGATGGAGATCTCTGGGAGATTTTCGCTATTTGATATTATGTGGAGATGGGAGGTCTCTTGTTGACCAGAGTCCTGAAGTTGGCTCTCCCACCTCAGAGGCACAGCACTGACTCCTGGCTGCAACACCAACAGCCTTTCATCTACACGGCTCAAAATAAAGGGAGAAAAAGTAGAGAGAAAGAATTAGTAGAAGTTGGAAGAAAGAAAGAAAGAAAGGGAGGGAGGGAGGAAGGAAGGAAGAAAGTAAGAAAGAAGGAATGAATGAAAGGAAGGAGGGAGGAAGGAAGGAAAAAAGAAGATAAAGTAAAATAAAGTGAGAGATAATAAAGTTATTAAATTAAAAAATAATTATTAAGAAAAAAATTGAAAAACGGACAGATAGAAGCTTAGGACAAATGGTGGAAGCAAAGCTCTACAGACAAAATCTCATAGAGAAGCATACACATACACACTCACAAAAAGAGGAAAAGGGGAAAAAAGTCATAAATCTTGCTCTCAAAGTCCACCTCCTCAATTTGGGATGATTTGTTGTCTAAAGGAGGGAAGGAAGAAAAAAAGAAAGAAGATAAAGTAAAATAAAATAATTAAAATTATTAAAAAAAAATGGACGGATAGAATCCTAGGACAAATGGTGGAAGCAAAGCTCTACAGACAAAATCTCACACAGAAGCATACACATACACACTCACAAAAAGAGGAAAAGGGGAAAAGATCATAAATCTTGCTCTCAAAGTCAACCTCCTCAGTTTGGGATGATTGGTTGTCTATTCATGTATTCCACAGATGCAGGTACATCAAGTTGATTGTGGAGATTTAATTCGCTGCTTCTAAGGCTACTGGGAGAGATTTCCCTTTCTCTTCGTTGTTCTCACAGCTCCCGGGGCTCAGCTATGGATTTGGCCCCGCCTGTGTGTGTAGGTCACTGGAGGGCGTCTGTTCTTTGCTCAGACAGGACGGGGTTAAAGGAGCAGCTGATTCAGGGGCTCTGGCTCACTCAGGCCGGGGGGAGGGAGGGGCACGGAGTGCGGGGCGGGCCTGCGGCGGCAGAGGCCCGCGTGACGTTGCACCAGCCTGAGTCCCACCGTGCGTTCTCCCCGGGGAAGTTGTCCCTGGATCCCGGGAACCTGGCAGTGGCGGGCTGCACAGGCTCCCCGGAAGGGAGGTGTGGATAGTGACCTGTGCTCGCACACGGGCTTCTTGGGGGCAGCGGCAGCAGCCTTAGCGTCTCTTGCCTGTCTCTGGGGTCCGCGCTGTTAGCCGCAGCTTGCGCCCGTCTCTGGAGCTCCTTTAAGCAGCGCTCTTAATCCCTTCTCCTCGCGCACCAGGAAACAAAGAGGGAAGAAAAAGTCTCTTGCCTCTTCGGCAGCGCCTGAGTCTTCTCCGGACTCCCTCCCGGCCAGCCGTGGTGCACTAACCCCTACAGGCTGTGTTCACGCCGCCAACCCCAGTCCTCTCCCTGCGCTCCGACCGAAGCCCGAGCCTCAGCTCCCAGCCCCGCCCGCCCTGGCGGGTGAGCAGACAAGCCTCTGGGGCTGGTGAGTGCCTGTCGGTACCCATCCTCTGTGTGAGAATCTCTCCGCTTTGCCCCCCGCACCCCTGTGGCTGCGCTCTCCTCCGTGGCTCCGAAGCTCCCCCCTCTGCCACCCGCAGTCTCCGCCCGCTTCCTAGTGTGTGGAAACCTTTCCTCCTTCACAGCTCCCTCCCACTGGTGCAGGTCCCGTCCCTATTCTTTTGTCTCTGTTTTTTCTTTTTTCTTTTGCCCTACCCAGGTACGTGGGGAGTTTCTTGCCTTTTGGGAGGTCTGAGGTCTTCTGCCAGCGTTCAGTAGGTGTTCTGTAGGAGTTGTTCCACGTGTAGATGTATTTCTGGTGTATCTGTGGGGAGGAAGATGATCTCCGTGTCTTACTCTTCCGCCATCTTCCCCCGGACCCGGTATGTTTTCTTGTTATTAATTAGTACCATTTCTTTTCAGCTTAAGGAAGTCCCTTTAACATTTCTGAGCTAGGTCCTCCTTCTCCCAGCAGATCACTTAAGTTGTCTTTTCTGTGCTCTGCCTTTTCTTCTTAAAAGAAGGAAAGAAAGATTCTCCTAAGTTACCAATCTGAATGATTTAGTTTTCTCTAGGCTATACCTTCAAAGTCAGCCCCAGATCTTTTTTGCATATCAAAAACTTGGCCTAATTATTACGTTCAGGCAAGAGAGGATAGTGACTCAGACCAGTGCTGTGGAGGGAGTCAAAAGAGGTCCAACTCTGGGCGCATTTTGAAGGTGGAGCCAACAGATTTGTTCATGTCTTGGATGAGGGCCATGAGAAACGAGGAAGCTGAGGACACTGCAATGTCTTTGGCCCAAGCAAGTGGAGAGATGAGTTGACATGGATCGAGATGGGGAGGCTGTGAGAAAACGGGTTTCAGATGGGAGAATCAGGAGTTCAGCTTTGTCCATGTAAAATTTAATGTGTATTTTTATATCCAAGTTGAGATGTCAGCTAGGCAGTCAAATGGTCAGAGTTCAGGTCAGAGCTGGAGACTTAAATTTTATCATTCCACTCCTTGATATAATATACATCATATGTACAACTTGTATTCATCATATATATGTATACACACACACACACAGTTGACTTTGAACAGCATGGGTTTGAACTGTGTGCGTCTACTTCTTTGCAGATTTTTTTCAATAGTTGGTTAAATCCATGGATGTGGAACTACAGTTACAGGGGACCAACTATTGGACTTGAGCATCTGTGGATTTTGGTATCCGTGGCAGGTCCTGGAACCAATACCCTAGGGATACTGAAGGATGACTGCATATATGTATTTATATTTACATACACACATATAACTTGTCTCCAAAATAACTTACCTCTAAATATTCTCTCACAAAAGTGATTTAACAATAGGACACAGACAGCCACATGGACTTTCAATCTCTTCCCAAAGGGAGAAAACACAAGTTAAATGTAGGCACTGTATCCAGAATTGATAACAAGAGGGCATTTTTCTTAGAGTCTGGAGGAACCCTATGGACTATTCCAAGTAAGATAGATAGCAAATTAAACTCCTGAGTTTAATTTTTCTTCCTTCTGAAATCTACTAACATTACATTCAAGAAACTTCTTAAAAAAAACAACAAACCAACAGGGACAAGGAAAACTGGAGAATTGCAGAGGAGAATGTAATAAATTTGTATATGCTGAAATTCAATGGGAGAGTGGCAACTGCCCAGCAGATCTGAGGAATCAGAATGCAAAGTCAAAAGTGGGGAAAACTGAGACCAAATCCAATTCGCAATGTGGAAGCCTCAAAATAGCAGGAACTAGTAGTACTAAGTACCTCTGGAACTGTTTGGTAGGGTTGAGGGTGCAGGCTCCAATAAGGAAGACTGGGTGAAAGCTAGAGCCCCTTGTCCAACTCCACCCCACAGAGTCACTGCTGTCCGCAGCCCAGCATCTGTCTATAGAGGGTAAAACAGTGTCTCTGGGCTGGAGCACAGCAGCCACTGTGAGGTGTGGCTACTCTACCCAAGATGGAGATTAAGCTCCATTGAATGGAGCTCTCTGTCCTACTCACTCACAAATCTCTCAAAGCCAATCCTTTACTCTGCTGGCTAGAGTTTGAAAAGCTCTTTCTTGCAAAATTTGACCAGCTCAACACAAAAGCTATCAAGATACTGACCTGGGGAGAACTTCAGCCAGCCTTCCCAGGGCCTCTGCTGGCCTGTGGGAAACTGTTGTGTGGATTGGAAAACGTTCTTTTCTCTGGGTAGATGAAGCTTTGCTAATGTCAGACTTGAAAAGCAGATCACAGTTTTGTGGGAGGAAAAAGGCATCCCTTCTTTCAGGAAGACGCATAGCCTCTGACCAGGGTTCATGAACTGGTAAGTAAGTGAGGGCTGCATTTGAGCCCCCTTCAATCTGGTGTCTTCATAGAGAGCACCATTGTAAGTGGCCCTGAGACCACCCCGATCACCCTGTAGTAAAGCACAAAGTCAGCAAGCCCCACCTACCTACATACTCAAAATCTCCAATCATCCAATGAGTTACTGCATCTAAAGGATGTCTTGAACCTGTAAGATAGAATCTGAAACAAACAGAAACAAATCAATCCTTGGAAGAAACAAAGTGTAGCACAGAGAAGAAAAAAATCATCCTCAGGTGATATAAAAGGTATCACATCCATGAAACCAGAATAGGACTCTCTAAAAAAAAAAAAAAAAGCATCATTCAGGAAGCACAAATTCAATAGAATAATTGGAAAATAAAGGTACCAGAAAGTGGAGCAAAAAGATAAAGAAATGAAAATAGGAAAGATTAAGAAAAAGAGAACACCATGCAAAAGACATAACTTTGGAAGATTGGCTTCAGAAGGAGATAATTGAGAAAACGGAGAGGAGGAAATGGAATGAAATAATTGGAGAATTTCCCAGAACTGAAGTGTATGAACCACTAGATTGAAAGGGCCTATCAGGTGCCTGTATACAGTGGGTAAAACAGGCCTACGATGAGATGCAGCACTGTAAAATTTCAGGACGTTAAGTACACACACACACAATTTTGTAATCTTCAAAAGAGAAAGAAGGAGAGAGACAGAGATCACAAAGCAAACATCAAGAATCACGTTGGACTTCTCAACAGTAACACCAGAAGCAAGAAGAAAATGGAGCATTGCCTTCAAAACTCTTCCAACTCCTCAAAAATTACTTCCAACCTAGAATTCTGTACCAAAGCAAACTGTTAAATTATGTATGAAAGAAGTCATCTAAGCCTTAAGAGATTGACCTCCTTTGCACATTTTTCAAGAAGCTACTGGAGGATATGATTACCCTTTTAATATCTTTCAAATGTCTTCTAAACCTTCAAATAGAATATTGACAAGCCCAGCTCATATTCTAATTCATACTTGGTCTTGTTTGAACACATACTGGTGAAGTTCCTGACTGCTCTATTTCAAAGTCATTTTACCCCACAAAAGTGTTCTTTGAGCTCCTAAGAACCAGAGGAAAGCCATAGTGAAACTCAAAGCAAAAATACAGAGCAGTCTCTTCCTTCTTCCGCAGCACCCGGCCTATATTCCGGCCACCAGAGCCCCCAAGGACTGTGAGCCCTATCTCTCGGGTCTCCCAGATTTCTCCAGAAAGGACTCTTGGAAACTATCACAGAAACAGAACTTGACAGGGACTCAGAGACTCTATCCCACCGACCTATTCCTGAGAAACTCTGCCCTCTCTTCTACAGAGGTGCTCAAGCACATGACCCAGCCTCCACTGCCCAGGAGCAGCCTAACCTCTTCTTGAGAGGGTCAGTTGTTCCAGCCAATTGTAGACACTTTTCATCACTGTCAGTAGTGTTGGGATGAGTGTACAGCTCCTGAAGTATGTTTTCTACTAGAGTACTAAGGGCTAACAACTGGAGAGCAGTTACTGTGAGCCAGGCCTTGGTCCAAGAACCTTAAAAATACAACTTACAGATAATAGTAAACTCGGGGTCATCACAGGTGGCCTCCCATGCCCATGCCGCACGGCCTTATCCTAGATTGCACCTTCTCCTAGCTCATCCCTGCCTTCCGCTCAGAGCAGTTGCAGGCTGGGCACTTATCTTTTTCTTATCACATCTTGTAAAGGGGAAGAGATTAATAGTAATAATTTAAAATACTAAATTATCAGTTTATTTCCCTTCTCTACCATCTTCTCCACCTTCCTTCACTTAGACTGAGTTACCCTTAACATTTGCCAACCCAATAGGAAGAAAAATACTTGAGTGAAAATGCATTTGAGTTCTGGCCAGCCTTGCAACTGAGTTTATAGGATAGTCCTTTTGCAGGAAGGAGCTAGAGAAGTTTTATTATTCTAATAACACAAGAGGTGTGGGTGAGCTCTGTCTTTTTATAATATAAATTAATAAGTTACATAGTTTAGCCTTACATTTCCGTGAATATTTAAAATTCTTCCAACTTCTCCTATTTCCCGTTGCAAATATATTCCAGATCCAAGGCATTTATCCCATTTTATTTATCTACTATATGCCTTTGTTCGTCCTTGGGGGCCTGATGTCCTTCTGGACTAGAGACTGACTCAGGAGGGGACTCTAATCTGAACAGAACTCATCATGTATTAGAATGAACACAGACTTGTGTTAGTGCAACTTCCTTGCCTTATGTTTTTGTTCACTTAACAGGACACCACAAACCTCTTGTTAACATTAATTTCCAACATAATTAGATTAAAATTGCATATTTGGATCAGTCCAGTTGGAACTCTAGCAGAGAAAGTGAGCTGACAGCAAGTTTTATTTGAATCTCTCTACTCAACAACAAACAACCTCCAATTCACGACAACAACAATAGTAATAAAAAGGATCCTCCTTTATGAGCATGTAGTATAAGCACTTTACATTCATCATCTCATTGAATCCCCACATCTATCCCATTAAAATGGCATTATTGCAAATCCTAATTTTACTGATAAGAAAACGGAGGCTCAAAGATGGAGGAGTAGAAGGACGTGCGCTCACTTCCTCTTGTAAGAGCACTGTGGCATCACAACTACCTGCTGAACAACCATCAACAGGAAGATGCTGGAACTCACCAAAAAGATACCCCACATCCAAAGACAAAGGAGAAGCCACAATGAGACGGTAGGAGGGGCACAACCACAGTAAAATCAAATCCCATAACTGCTGGGTGGGTGACTCACAAACTGGAGAACACTTATACCACAGAAGTCCACCCACTGGAGTGAAGGTTCTGAGCCCCATGTCAGGCTTCCCAACCTG